TTATAAAGCTTTCCGAAAAAGTTAGTTACCGCCTCTGTTACAAAATTCAAACAATATTCTAGAATATTTATATTTTGAAGCATTTAACTGCTAGATGATTAAATCTTAATAAAGTCCTGTTTCAAACCTGGACCGCATGGATGGAATGGAATTTCTTCTAGCGATTCTTTTTTTAACATTCTAAAGGTTTTTACTGTAAAGCTTGTTTATATCTAATTTAATTAATATTTCTCTTTTTCGATATTAGTTAATCATTCATTAAATTTACCTATCATTAGCTATCGCAGCCCCTCCGCTTCAAAGTTCGGATCCCCAAATTGCCCATCAAAGGCCGGTGTTTTAACATCGCAAGACGGTTTTCGTACCAGCCGCGAACCGCCACGAGCGACGCCTAAATAAATAACCCTCTTTAATTCGCCCCTTACACGACACTAACCCCGTTTTTATGGACTCGCAGTTTCTTAGACACGTCTTTTATGGCGAGGTGATTTGTCACGCTCGTTATGGTCACGTATCTATACTCCTTATAGGGTTCCTTACTGAAAGGACGACGATAGAACCCTATTGCTAAGACTCCGCTATTTGTTCGCCTATGAATGGTAGGTACGGAGTTGAAATTATTACAGAATGTTTATTTCAATAGCCGGGTGCAGTGACAAACTAAAAATTAAATCAAAATAGTTAAAAAAAAATTGAAGATCTTATACGAAAAGCCCGAGAACAAAAACTATAGACTGCGTGTGAGGGCAAATCGGTAGTTATGTATAAACTAACTTATTTATTAATTTTGTTATTAAATAAGTATATGAATATTTTCAATACTCGTACCAATTAGCCTAGCCCCAAAGTAAGCATTTCCATGACTGCAGTACAAATGTATTCATCACACATACATCTGAAATTTAAAAAAAAATCATTTTAAAATATCAACTTGCCCACGATTACAATTAAATTAGAAATCTTGGGCTATCTAAATCACAAAATCAAACCAAATTCAGAAAATGTTAACCTATGTGATATCATTTAAACGATGCCTGTGATCATCGACTCTAGTTCTTACAAATCATTCAACACATAATAATCAAACCATAATTCTAATTAAACAATCAAAACAATCTCGTTACTAACCGCACAGGTATAGAAACGAGTGTGTGAACACGGCCAGCTCTCGTCCGCTTAATAAACTCGGATCTCGGATCGGCCACAACAAGCGGGCGTGTAGGCCTCCATTTTTAACGAGCCCCACCGAAAGTAGCCTACACATGAAATCACGTATGAATGAGGCCTTTTTTTCGGCAACTCCAGTGCCCATTAAAGCTTACATGTCACTCGCGGGGAGACAGGGTGGGGTGGAAAAATCGGAAAATCGGTAGGTATCCTACGGACAGACGGCCCGCTGCGGCGGCGTGCGCTCTGCAATACTACACAACACAGCTTTGACGGACGTTCATTTAATATTAACTGTGGTTTTCCCGCAGATGGAAATGGTTTTTTTTATTGCTGTTACCCCGTGATGAAGTGGCCGTTGGTTGTTTGTGACGTTGCGATGTATTGTGGATGAGCTGCTCTTTTATCCACTCCACGTTTGTACATTGTTGTTTTTGCGTTTGTAGGTATAGGTCTGTTCGAGTGTTTTCCTGTTTGATGTCGGAGTGGATACTTGATGAGGCTCAGTATTGTCTCATTTGTCTGTTGCTTAATTAAGTGCGCTTGTTATTTTTTTTGTAACAATAAAAATTTGTATTTTTTTCCGGCAACGTTTTGATTTAAAGAATACATACAGATATTATACGGCTGTTCGTCAAACGCTACGTAACACTAGTTTTTTATGTTTATTTTAATATTTTTGATGGACAATTTTATCACTATCGTGTTCCCGATCCGTTCCATCCGCCGATCGCGCCAGAACAAATTTCAATCGAAACTCGAATTGAAAACTCACCAGCCAATATATTTTTAACTTTTCGAACAAGTGATCAAAATCGAACTATAAAAAAGTGGACGCCCCGCGAAAAGAGTGACGACCGCAGATTGAATTTATGGCTCACGATCATTCTGAGTGGAAAGTTGGCGCAAATATTTTCAATCCGATTGTAATAAGGCGTGAGTGGTAACGAGTTTTTTGTCGTTATTCGAACATTGTATGATATATCAACTTTGGATAGTTTGTGTAACGATGAAATTGGTTATGGGCAATCCGAAATAAATAGTTTAACACATCTTTACCTTGCAAATACAAACTTAAACTTCCGTAAAGGTTAATATTAGAATTTGACTAATTATTCAATAAAAACCAGACAAGTGCGAGGATGCGTACAAATTTGTAGGAACGCAACATGAACAGCCTTATCTCTTTTTTACGTTAACTTCGAAGTTTGATTTTTTACAGGTTCAAGAGACCATACATAATATGGTTAAAAAAAACGACGGGTTGCACTCCAGAAGTGCCGGCAGAAGTGAAAACTTGAATATTAACGTTGTGCATTTTTTTATATTTTGGAATGGTTAGGGAATAATTTTGCACGAATTGCTTTATTTATCAGTATAAAAGTACTATCATGTATGTGGTAGAATACAATATTTAATTATTGAGCTATCGTACACAAACATGACAATTTATATTACATTAAACAAGTTTATCTCTCAGAAAAATCAACTTACATGAATCACCTTTAAGCGCACTTAGCGACATCTACTGTAAAAAAATGCATTTTCTGCGCAATAAAGCTGCCACGTGGACGTCCTAGATAGAGACTTATTATTATACGGTAAAATAAAATATTACTATGTTTCGTCCAATATATTGAAAGTCAACAACCTTTCCAATTTTATTGTGTGTCATGATGCGATCAGCCCATGTGTTTAACCTGACGCGAGTTTAACATTTTTTACCCATACAAAAAAAAGTGTACAACGCCGCTAAAGAAGTTTTCACTTCAAAAATTAATTCGATGCCGCCACGCATTCTCAACATAAAGAGTCTTGACAGACCGATAAACGCCCATATCTTTTTTTTTCTTTAACTTAGAAGTTGGATTTTTTCAAAGCTTCAATTGACCGTAGACTTGAGTATATGGATTAGATTACAACTCGATACCTCTACGCGTTTCCGAGTTAGGAGGTCTTGACAAACAGATGGACAAAAAAGGAATATTATAAGAGTTTAATTGCTTGGGGTACGCATAAGCAGTATTCATGCGGGCTATTTAAACATTACGGCTCTAGTTATAGGTCATTTCGCCAAGTTAATCATGGTTAAACTTCTTAATACAAAAGTAGGCTCTAACTATCACAAATAACGGCTTATGGTCCCGTGGGTAGCGCGCCCCAATCGGGGCGTGCGGTGTTTGACCGTGCGATGTATTTTTCGAGCGCGCCCCGATCGGGGCGTGTGGTCTTATTTGATAAAATCAGTTTCAACGGTATAGATGCAATTGCGATCAAAGTGCAAGTACAGTGTTCAAGTGCGATTGTTTAAAGACTTGTATAGTGAAGTACAGTGTTTAGTGAGTGTATTGTGATTAATATTGTGTGTTAACTGTGTGTTAATAAAATGCTGTCAAGCGTGAACTGGCATATAATTCGAATCCCATTCCGAGACGTAATAATATCAATTAACCACGCAAAAATGGCAGAACGGATGTAGATGAAATTTGGTACACAGATAGTGTACCTATATGCATTAAATTCTACGATAAACACTACAAAGTACACGCATGCGCACTATTCGTAACATACTCATAATAAGTTATCCACTTCTTGTAAAGTGGCCGAAAAAAGTCATCCGATTGAGCTGAAATTTTACATTCTATACATAAATACATGTGAACTTAATTATTATTAGCATCCGTTTTATTACTTTTTATTTCATCTACACCCATGTTCTAAGCTCCTACAAAAGAATTGAAATCAGTTTATGTACTTATTGCCAAGATTAAAACATCCGATGTCCTAATAACCATAATATCATCCAAACGGATGTATAATATTGTACTTAAATTTTATAATAACACTCTTTCGCTTTTTCAATCCCTTCCTCGCAAAATGTTGACTTATCAGAGAGCCACAGTTCTCATTACTCGATGCGTAGAATTTTCGTATTAGAATGAATTAAAAAAATATGTCATTCACGCGCGTTTCACAACCACGGCGCCGAAACTTTTCATGATTTTCTGTTCTTAGAATACCCCATGGTATCAGAATCTTTTAGAAGATTCATATCATGGAAGATAGTCTTATCTGCAACTGTTTATAATTAGGTATTTAAATACTCATGTGATACTATTATGACACTCGGCGTCGCCTCGTGATAAATGCACATTCGTATATAAATACTCATAGGCCTTCTCTATGAATGGATTAGGGAGATTGGGCCATGACCCACCACGCGGGCTCAGTGCGGGTTAGTGAGTGCTAACGACTGCAGATGCAGCCGGGACCAACGGCTTAACATGCCTTCCGAATCACGGAGGAGCTCGAGATAGTAAATTTTTGGTCACTCATCCAATGACCGACCACTGCGAAAGTTGCTCAACTTCAACGACCGCAGCCGAACGCGCTAATCACTGGCGCATTCGAGCTCCTCTCCTTCAAATAACTATTAGTAAAATAAAATAAAACAAGAAAATCTTAAAGAAGCGCAAAAATATGTATTTTGTAAATTACAATAATTTAAAGTGTCACCTCTATTACAATACTGTTTGTCTAATGAGGATTGTAGTACTGATTTTTGTCCTGAATAAAATAAAATAAAGTTTTAACGGTATAGATACACTGAATTATTTATTTATTGAAATTCGCTTTCTTTACAGGATGCGTCGTGTGATTAATGAGATCATTATTCAGACGTCAATAAATAAATAAATCAGTGCATCTATATCGTTGAAACTTGTTTTTTTCAATGAGTAAGCGCGTGAAAACCTAAGAAACAAATATGTGAACTTTTAGTTGTCCGTTAACTTTGAGTTACAATAGTAATAATATAGAAATGTTTGTTCCAGGGAAATCGTTCACGTTGACGATAACGGTATCAACGACGCCGCCGCAGGTGACAACGTACAACAAGGCCATCAAGGTGACCGTCGACGGGCCAAGGGAACCTCGATCCAAAACCAGTTAGTTCCTTATTGCATAGAGATCTTTTTAGATTGTAACTGATATGCCGTATATTCTCTTTTTCGTATTACTACACTCAAGTTGCAAGATAAAAATATCATCATCATCATCATCAGCCTATTAATGTCCCCACTACTGGGGCACAGACCTTCCCTATGGATGGAATAGGGAGATTGGGCCCTGACCCACCACGCGGGCCTAGTGCGGATTGACGGTGCTTTCCGAAGTACGGAGAAACACTTGGTCACCCATCCAATGACCGACAACTGCAAAAGTTCAACGATCGCAGCCAAACGCGCTAACCAACTGCGCCATCGAGCTCCTCAAGATTAAATATTTTTAACAATCACACCAATTAGCTCCAAAGTAAGGCTTGTCGTTATGGGATACTAGGGTAAAGGAAAGCATACTTATACTGATAGATATATACCGTACCAGAACCGTGAAACCCACCTACTTCGGTTTTCAATTGTAACTTTCGCCAGTCTTCAATATATATATTTATATATATAAATAGAAAACGCAATTTGTGGGTAACTATATTATAATTTATAATATGCAAGTGCTTTTTTGGTATGAATACGGAAAAAAAAAGATTGGAAAATAAGCTTAACGGGACATTTTTGTTTTATATAAATATTTTAAGTATGCTATGGCTACTCCCTTCCTATTGCTCTATGGTTCTTACCCTGAAGCCACCTAAAAACTCAAACTACACAACAGACTCCACAACACATCACAATACCCAAAAACATATCTTTACACCAAAAACATAGCGCGGCAACACTAAGGCAAACATCAAAGGCTCAAATTACGGAACACTCCGAAACACAAAAGCGGGCGACCGCAAAACATTCGAAAACAGCGGCTTTAATGAAGGTAATTTATTAATAATTGCCGACTCTTGCCAGATTTTACCTTTTCAAGTTCAGTGGGCGTGAAACTAGGGCCAGCCTGCCTCTATTATCGCGGGTTTACGTTTCGAAAGGGCTCTAATTAATAATTGTGTTCTGTTTGAACTTTGTTCTTTATACTATGATATCTCGCACTATATAATACTTTAAAACCTTTACCTAAATACATGAAAATTTCTAACGCATTTTCCTTTTATTTTGGTAAATTTCTTTTTCTATAATAAATGAATGGATTAACAGTTTTAAAGTGAAACTTTTTCTATTTCACCATATTTTTTTTAAGTTTATCTTTAGCATGTCGCATTTATATTATTAATGAATTAATGTTAATATAAATGAATAAATACAAAAATACCTATTTCTTACGCCCACAACAATAAGTCTAGCCCTTAGGAAGGATTTTACGAGTACGGAAAGAATAAAAGCACAAAACCTATATTAATGATTTGATTATTCCAGAAATATATATAAAAAGTCATGAACTAGGATTAATGCTCGTATACGTCACACAAACATTTGTCCCACAGAGATTCGAGTAGGCGACATCTTGAAAACCGGTGTTCATACCACTCTATCAAAGGAGCCCCCTTCTTTGATAGAGTGGTATGAACACCACCAGTTTGTCATATTTTTAAATTATATATACATATTTTTGTCCTTTATTTTCCTCATACAAAGACCATTCCTTCTACACTCTTAAACACCATTAGCGAGCCGTGTTACTTACGTAAACAAACGAAGTAATTTAAATAGTTACTTGAGCCCGTGACGGTAACAAATGACGGGCCTCAGAGACCCGCTCCGAATCACATTGGATGCTCGATCAATCCTTCACGTGGAGAAATTAAAATAATTGCTAGGATAGTAGTGGGCCTGTAAGACCCTCGCCTCGCCGCGCAAGGGTTACTACGCTGGGCTCGGCCTTTCAATGTTGCGGCACTTTTAACGTTGTGCTGTGTAAGTACTGTGTCACCGTGCAATCTGTTTATTTTTTTAGTACTAAAAGTAATTGTGTTTAAAAATGATTTAAGATATTAGATAAAAGAACTGGATAAGCGCGAGCCGGATTCGCCCTCCAAGCGTTCCGTACAAATTTATAAGTACACTAAATAAACGGCCGTATTTTTTATGTTAGCATAGAAGTGCGATTTTTTCATAGCTGCAAGGGACTGTAGGCTTCAGTACCTTTATGGTTTAAAAGTTCAAGTCAATACCTTTTTACGTTTTCGAGATAAAGGGTATTTACAGACAAACACACAAATGGCTGTAACTTCTTTTCACATTAACTTAGTAATAAAAACAATATTTTTTTCTTTTAATTAATTAACAAATAACATTTCACTTCATAATTTCTTATCTAAAAGTTGGTCCTAATCTTTATGTTAAATTTGCAAATATTAGCACTGACTTTATCTGCACAAAACTCTAAAAAATGCTGACAATTTGAAGTACCTAGGTATAATCTTAGTAAGTTATATTTCAATTACATTTCTAAAGTATGTTTACAAACAAACAAACTTTTCATTATTTCTAATTTCGTCGACATTGAAACATATTAATTACTAAGCAATCCTTAGATGAAATCCGTAGTCTTTCCCACACTCAAATAGGCTTTCGTAATATTTGAAAGTAAAATCTCATTTCGAATCTCTTCGCGTATATATTTTGCTTAACATACGATGCTATCCGTACAAGACGAATGCGAGGCACAAAGGAGGCTGTTTAATGAATCGGTTGTGTAATTAATTAGTGAAGAAAGGGCCCACCCCATGTGTGCAACCCTGCATATTGATTTATTAAGCCCTTCACCCGATAAATTATTTAATTCAAAGTTCCGACGAGCGTGCTATCTGAGCGAGTATTGAATATGTGCGTTGCACGTTGCGTGTATGATAGATAATAATTAATTCATTATATCTAATTGAAATGTTATAGGCGGATATATATGTAAACTGCTAATCTCAAATATTTATCAGTAAGCACCTAATTCATGCACCATGTTTAGTGTGAAGTTTAAACATTCTACAATGTTGCTATTATTATATTTTGAGAAACTTTCGCTTCATAAATCATTATTATACTTACTCAAATATTCTTCTTGAAAATTGCAAAGTTTGATGCAATTACCTACCTATATAAAATTTATTTTATACAAACTTGTTTTTCTTTTCTTTAATAAATATACTTATCTGTGTTTTGTTTTATAAAGGGCATAATTAATATCTGTTACAAGATTTCTGGGAACGTTTCATTAATGAAATAATAGAATTCGCATCAGGTGAAGTTGACCATTTGTTTTTCAATAAACAAGAAATCTAACTAGCGATAAAATACTTTATTCAAGACGAAACATCCTCAACAGAAACGGTTAAAAATCACCAAATAATTCGTTTTTAAGCAACACCATCGTCCTCCCTCTCTTCGCGCTACACAAATAGCCACGTTGCGGATATCACAAACATCGTATCCTTTCAACCACCACAGCTACACACGCAAAAACCATCTCTAAAGTCTTCCATGCAAGCTCCCAAATGCGGAAACACAGCTGCGGTTGTGGGTGGTTGGTTTTACAGCAACAGTAGCCTAGGACATTAATCGCGACTATTAAAGATGTTTTTCTTAAAGCAACTATTATAGTGAGCTATTTTGGGTGCGCCTGAGTCGGACCACCCGCAGCAGAGCGGCGCTACCGTTTATATTCTGCTATTAAGATTTGTTTGATTCACACGGTAACTTAGATGTTGTTTTCAATTCATAAAATATGTAAGTACAATCTAGTCGAACATCATGTAAGTTTTTGGAGTAATAAAGTAAATATTTATTCAGTGTTTCACAGGGTGGACAACCCTGTGTCCCCCCTCCCCCTCCCGAATTAGTAAATTAACATATAGGCCAACGGATCAACTAACCATGGACTGTAAAGAAGGTTTTTTAGGACTTCAATGCTTTAAATTAAAATTATAATAAACATAAACTGGTCTGGATACTTACGATCTATGCTATGCTTTAACATGTTGCCTACAATGAAAAATCTGGTTATAAATTTATCTGACAAAATAATTATGTGATGTGATGATGTGTAGTGTTCTCGTACCTCGTACGTTGTTTCATCCATCATACAAAATTCTTAAATATAAAGAAAATCATATTATTAGTAAATAAACAGCCGAGAGGGTAGAGCTCAATACAATCTGAGCTGAGCTGCAAAGCTCAGCCTGTGTTGCAGCATAAGCCACAACTCTGGTTTTCAGTCGCGCTTATCGTGAAAAATAAAACATTATATGAGAAAGTGTTAATCATTTTACCTTACACTTGAATTTATGTAGCCTAATTATTTTGATAATTTTATTTTATTTCTGTATTATAATAAAGAAATTAAATCTTTTTTTATTAGTATAAAAGTATGATTATGAAATGAGATTTTCTAAATAGTACAGTGAATATCCATAATTATTTTAAATTCGAGTTCAAATTTAAACTCTGATGCAAGTGGACCTAAAAATAATGGTAATAGAAAAATATTAAAATAGACAATTTCGCTATCCCTATGTTTTTCCCCATAAATGTAAATAAAATGTGCTAGGCACCAGTTTAACAAAAAACTAAACATTCTCTACTCACTGTCACGAAACTTATAAGAGTCCATTTAATCTGGGTCCCAAATTAAATATGGCGGCGTATATAAACCTGGGATAACAACTAGTAGAAATACTTGGCATTATAAATCTAACTAGACCGGACGGCACCCTCATGTAATCCTTTAATCAGGTCCAGGGTAGCCCTTGCCCGCACCCTGTGTGTCCCCCTCCCCCCCTCAACCCCCCCACGGAACCCTCGAACGGTGCAAATGACAGTTTCTAATTCCAAGTTGCCATGAAAGTGTGTAATTGTAGCAGTTGATTTATACAGCGATGGCTGGCGCGGGAATCGAACATGTGTGTGAGCCAGACCGGATAGGTGACGGTATTGGAAAATGTACTTGTATGCACGATTTACTATGGACTTAAACAGTCTTGGAATAAAACTGTTTTTCAGGTTTGTAATTATTATATTACAACTTGAAAGAAAAACAAGTATACGAGTAGTTTTTGGGTGGCGCCGACATAAAAGTTGTAGTAAATGTTTGTCTTTAATCATATAATTTATAAAAGAACTTTCTGTAATGCGGAAAAATAAAGTAGATCTTTGTCCTTTTTTAAGAAAATATTTACAACTGTCTTTAGCTTATACATAATAAAATTAATGATATAAATCAGCGTCATCATGGCCCACATGACCCTTGACGTGGGATTGGTGGAAATACTGTATACAACCGGAAACCAACCATAATATCTAGTATATAAGTTTAGTTGCCTTTCAGAGCAATTACTAGGCCTTTAATCTGAACAGGAAGGTCAGCAAATAACTGGCGTATTCTGTGTTTTATTTTCTCTACAAAGAACGGTAAAAGAGAGTTTTTTGACACAACAGTTGACACATTACTATCTGCTAACGAAAAGGACCCTGAAGCGAGGTTTCAAGGCCCGCTTGATTTATCCCATTACCAGACAATATCACCTTGTCGCGTAAATTATTTGTTGATTGGTGGCAAACACCTGCACCGTGTTGATCGAAGCTTAGACAGATGGTTTAATTAAGGATGCACTACATACTTGACAATATCAAAGGTACAGTCAACAAAAGATCTAATAATGCCATATTTTAATCAAATTTTATATAGGTAAATAATATAATTATTAATTTCTCCAAAATTCGTGTTTAAATAAATGATAATATCAGAATGATATTGACTGAGAGAAGATACTCTGTGGTAACCTGATATATTTATATATATATATATATCTAAATCGATGTTATAATAGCGGAATATACAAAAATCTTGTGAATTGAAAATGATTTTGAAAAGACGGTTACGCGTGATACCTCTAGTAGGCGGCTAAAGGCTCACACTCTGACAGCTTACCATCAGGCAGATCGCGTGTTGGTTATATCAAATATTAGGTACGTTATATTTTTTGTAACAATTGATTGGTGCAATGTTACTGAACGTAACTTTACTCCAACCGTCTTATTAATAAACGTAGATTAAAGCAAGAGTATCTCTTCACCAAGGAGAAATTCAATGTTATCAAATTTGAATATAAATAAACATGGATTTTTTTATGTTTCAATCCTATAATGCCATCTGTTTTTTTTTATTTTCATTCAAATAAGCAATAAGACCAAACGTTGGTTCCTGATTTATACTTCTTCATATATTATTTGTCCACTGCTACCCATGCTCAGTATTGTTCAGCTTACTAACTAGGCGGATATCAAACACATATCACCGTCTGCTGCCTGGTCCGCGTGGATTTTTTTCTAGTTATATTTTCTTTAGATTTAAACATCAAGCAGTTACATGCTTTAAAAAAATAATAAAAATTATAACATATCACTCAGTCGTTCCTTTAGGCCGTATACAGAAAGAAAGCTGGTAGCCGACCAGCGCTTGTCAGTGCTGGTCCTTACCGGTAACCGGCGCAGGCATTTCTATGGACCAGCGCTGATAAGCGCCGAACGTCGCCGACAAGTGCCTACACGCGCTGGTCAGCGCTGGCACCGCCCTTTGAAATTAATCAACAACTAGGCTTCAATCATCTTCCTTTATCTAACTGTTACCAGTAAGGATTTCCAGCGGGCAGCAGGTGGTTGGCTTCCAGCTTTCTTTCTCTATACGGCCTTATACACGTGCATAGTAACGAGATGCAATCCCTCATAGAACTAGGTTTCCTATGTGTTTTAATATCTGATTCGCTTTAACATACAATCTTTGGTACTTAGAAGGAATACTCTCAATCACAGCAACGCATTTCATCCATCGTCGTGTTATCAACGTTAACAATCGGTGTTTAAAATCTATCATTAATAAAAAATGGTGTTGGTACTTCTCTAAAATTATTATCATTAGCCAAAACACATCGTAAAATCTCCAGTTACCTAACACGCATCCTTTAAACGCTGCCCGGATCGGGACAGAATGTCTCTAATTTCATGCCGAAGGGTTGCCAGTTCTCTAATTCGAACATTTAGCGAGGGATGTCTGTCGACGACGATGAATTATCGAGTGTCTGGGCGTCGACACTCTTGTTCGACACGATCTGACAGAGCGGTGGGGTAGGAACTAATCAAAATTCGACAGCAGCAGTGGTTCGAGTTAGACGGTGACACGAATGGATTTGACCCTGTGCCTGACTGAGTCGGTCAGTTTACAGAGTATTAGTTGAAAACCAAAATTACCGTCTTAAAATCTAAAGTCGCTTTATAACCCATTAAAAAAATGCATGAGTGTATTTCGAAGTTAATAACATAAGCGTAAGTACACAACTGTACACAATACGATACGAAACCCTGCTGACGGTCGTGACGAAAAAATCTTACACTTCCTTCACCTAGTGTTGTAAATTTACAGTTAAACCAAATTTATCTAGCCTATAGAAAAGCTCGTGTTATGATACCAGGGCATTAGATAGAATAAGATAAACATAAAGGTGCATAGATTTTCGTAGAAATATATAAACGGTAAGACTTGTATTCATTTTGGGGGCAAACGATGATATACATTATCATCGTTTGCCCCTACTGGGATTCGAACATAACACTCTACCACGGATGTTGTCGATCAACAAATGTTTAATTAAATAGTTGTGGCCGTTCGTTTGGGTTAAATTTAGTTTTTTGATAATCCCACAGGGAACTGATATTTTTCCGGGATAAAACTATCTTATCTCTCAATCCGCCACATAAACTATATGCATATCCAAATCAGTTCTTGATTAAGTTTTTGCGTGATTGAGTAACAAACATACAAACATGCACATATAAAATATAAGTCTTTACCAACTCTTTTTTTTTTATTTATTTATTAAATCAAGTACTATTACAATTATTTTCATACATATAGTGCAAACAAAAACCAGAAAGGTTTATTCGTGCACTATAATCATCACTGTATATCTAGATACAATAAATAGAAGTTTGACATACTCTAGTAAATATTATTAAATTACATCTCGACATATCGATAGCCATAGTCAACCCTAATCAGCATTCTTTTAAGCGGTATACGATGTAACCCTTTAATACATTTATCGATCTCAGCTCATCTTGTTCTCTCGACAAAGTCCCTGTCTGCATTCTGCACAAATTGATCCAGAGTGGATAGTGTAGTGAACTTAAAGTATGGGGATGTGAACTGAGCAATTTAATGGAGTAGTAGATAGACATATTAATGGTCATGTTTAGTCCAAACAAAACATTTCATTGCGTAGTAACTTATGATTTCATTTAACATTAACTAAATATTAATTTTATCAGCGAAAGCAAATCAGTTCACATTCGGACGTCACATGTACCGCGTGTGCTAATAAACATACAGTTTCATCATTATTAGAGTTATCAACAAACTATCATTTTAACAACATCATCGCGAAACGTGTAAAGGAAATTCTACATCAATTCAGGAAGTCCTTCGACTAGTGAATTTTGATAGTGCTCTTACGGTGTTAGTGAATCGGTTTGACTGGCCTCCCGCAAGCGGGTCTCTCCAGTTGGATTGAGAAGGAAGGAATTGTGGCAGTCTCAAAACGTTAAAAATTCAAAAACTGAGCGATAAAAGTATTTTTATTATTTTATTTCTTGGGTATCCAATAACACAACTACGAAAATAGAAGTGTAAAGTCTCTATAGCTAAAAATGTTTCACATACATAAATATTCTTCTCAATCTTGGATGAGTGATAGTTCTCCCTGCAGTCGTGAAGGAAAACTCATCATTTATCTATGTCCCCAATGGTTTATTCCAAAGGGCAGCCTGTATCGTACTGATGTAGTGTTGTCTCTCCTAGGGCAGCAGCAGCAGTTCCACTTCGCATTCGGCCAGCGTCCGTTCCCCTTCCCCCCGGACCCGCTGGGGGGGTTCCGGATGCCACCCATCACTACCTGCCAGAGTAAGTCATATTCTGCCAGGATAAGTATACATCCCGGCATACTTCTTGAGCAACGACCATAGACAAGGAAGCCTGCGCAGGTGCAATTTTAGGTACATACAAAAATGTCTACTGAGCAAGTAGTCTATGGTTTTGCTCAAGAAAGTTGCCGCTACCTTTACCTGAGCTTTTAAGTAAAAACACATTCTGTGTGTAAGCGTATGTATGCGTGCATTTAATAATTTATGATAACAAGTAAAATTAAATATATGTATATATGGTATAGTTCAATATAAATTAGAGACACTCACACAGAAGCAGTGCAAACTTTATATTATCTCGCTCTCCCGTAAAATGGAAAAACCTCATCAAAAACCTGACAAAATTGTGAATCCGCAGGCCCCAATCTAAATTGGAATCCGATATAGCGAAACCTTACGGACGAAAACCGCGGCTCAAAAGTGAATGAGCCACCAAACCGTGCGGCGATACGCTAAACTACGTTCGCTAAAGCGCGGATTCAATCAGGCCTACAAAAAAAAGTATCGGCTCGCTGCAAACGCAATCGAACAAGTATGCACCGGTTGAAATCCAGGCTACCCCAAAACAACTGATGCGGCTCAAAACGCGAAAAAAACATTCGCAAATCGACATGCGGCGGCGACGGCGGACGACTGCCAGCGAACGCGCTCACATATCGTATAAAAACCAACTCCGCCGATTGCCGGCCAAAAACGGAACCGTGATACCGAAAAATAAAAGCCGGTAATACCCTGGAAAAAATAAAGTCACCGCCACCGAGCGACGCGGACGATCGCCGAGTTTTGTCCACTACGGCTATCTTTATGTGTGGGCTTTGCGTGTTCGCCGATTTTGCTGTACGGGTTTGAATTGGCTTATATCGGCTTGTTTAGAAACTACATTTTCAATCTTTAAACAAAATCGTTGAATTTAGAAGGTGTCAGTAATAAAATTATGATTTAGTTTTTGAGGGTATTAGTACGAGTAACTGACTCATTATTTTTTCGTGTAAAAAATATAGAAATCTAGCGTATGGCCCGCCTGATAGTGCAGCTGCTATAGTCCATACAAATTTGCAATACTATATATTATGTGTAGTATCATTCGAGCGTTATAGAGCCCTAACTTTTATTCCCAACCACGTGAAGCTCAGGAAGCTAACTTTCTCAAATAATCACATAAGCACCTAAAGATGCTGCGCTGCGCATAATCACCTAAAGACGCTTACTTGTTATTACACTAGGAAGGTTTTCTTTTTAATTGAAATGTAAGAAGGTACTAACACATTTTACTAATCGATAAACTGAAAATGGGTTTTTCACAAACCTCCTGAACTGCACACATGCACTCGATTTAAGTCGTAAACTAGAAGACGTAGCCATAAATATGCAAGCTAATAACCTCCCTGTATCCACACAGACATGAGCCAATTCGGCTTGAGTTCGAGCAACACGCATTGGGGCTACGGTGGCGCGGGCGCATATCCCGCCTACTTGCCGTCGTGCGCTGCGCCGGCGGCCTCCCAGTTCAACCCCCCCACACTGGGTTTCACCGGCTCTGTACCGGACCAGACGCCTACGCAAGACTTCACTGCTAATAATACAGGTAAGATCAATTCCTCGCTTATTGCCCGTTATACTAGTCCTGTTGAATGTACCATAGTAAACTTTATCTTCTTTTATAATTAAAACAATGCTTTTGTCGACGCAATTTAGGTATCTTCTACCTTTAAAAATTTACCATGTCGCACAAGCAAGGTTATCAAAAGATCAACACTTGCACTGCTGTTTTCCAGAATATCGTATAGTAACGTTCTCCTTTCTCGAGTAAAGCTCTCTTTTCGTTTAGTGTTTCGAATACATTTTTCATTTAATATTAAATAATATATTTTTCTTATACCTGTGCCAATTATGGCGTCTTCAAGGACTGGCTATGAAAATAATATTTATACTGAAGTATCGGTCTACTACAACCACCTTGCCTTAGATGATCAGTCAACCCGAACAAAGGATCGGCAAAACATATCTGTGTAAATTTTGTACTGACTTAGTTACTTTTGCCTACGCCTGATCGCAATGTTCACCGAAATTCCAGAGACAATAAAGTAGGTACTTCCTAAGAACTATTAGTTTGTGCATAGGACTTGCCCGCCGGTCTAACTGTATTTTATTGGAAATTGTATGTAATCGTTATTGGAATTCTTGACATTGTACAGATAACACGCCTTGTAGCAAATCTTGCATTTGCAATTTTCGCCGACTCATACAGTAAACACATATGCAACATAGTCAGACAACTGGCAGAGGTAGCACGAGATGCTACATACGAGACGATCGATTGCCATACATCCATCTCCATCATTAAATATTGATTTACGGCCAGGTGACTCATTAAAACGGTTGGTCGAAATTAAATCCACCAAAATGTTTTACGAGCGTCATCCTCCTTGGAATCGTACGGGCGTGGCGGACGTTAACCGGCTCTCATTATAATTTACAGCGATCGGATCGCGTCCGATCCGGACTATGAATTTACTGCCGTTGTTGATGCGTGCCACACTCGCGCCATCAAATATACAGAAACATTATATAGACGCGCCGTGTAAACTTTCGAAATGCTAACGCTCACCCGAACTTTTATTTTTGGTTGTTCTTATGAAATTTTAAATCACGAAATCACATTCACCGTCTGGGAAGGTAGAGGGTCTCACTTGTCTTAAGTTGACAAAGGCGCTTAAGTCAGATAAATACAATAGACAAAAGCTCGACGTAAACTTTCTAAATATATGAAGAACCGGTGCCAATGGAAAACCAGCGCAACATCAGCATCATGCTGACTTGGGACCGATTTGAGACAAAAAAATTAGATGTGTGTTTTGTATATTATTTTTTTACTGTTGGTTTGTCTCAAATTAATTAAATTGCTTTCTTTTCTAAAAAAAAATTTCCTGTTCTTATGAATTAAGGTGTGATGATGAACAGAGAGTTTATCCTCATACTTCGGTATTGTGGTGGTCACTCTGCGACACGTTTTCAAAGTTATTTCCTTTTTCATAAGATTAAGCGTTGGTATGCGATTTATCCAAAGAAATACCTCAGGGGTAACTTCAAAAGATGTGGACGAGGAGGTGTTCACAGGGCCGGCAACGCGTATTTGATGGTCGTGGTATCGTTGACATTCATATGCCACGATTACAGCTTATTTATCAGGCTTTATTCATTCATGACAGTAAAATTCCTGCTGGAATTTTACTGTCATGAATGACATATGAATCATTATCTTGTGCATTTTATCCTTTTCTTTTGTTCACAATACGATGCTTTATATCCGGTTAAATGTGTTTTATCTTAAAAGAAATGTACACTTTAATATGTATAACCACAGCTAATAGGGTAGAATATAATTCAGCCAAATTTTGTGCAGTTTTACCTGATACGACGGGTGTGGACCTAGACCAGCAACTGTCCGGTCTAGTGGGCTCATCGCCGTCGCACCACGGAAGTCTACTTCCCCGTTACAACAACAACGCAGACTACAGCCTCTCAACGGGACCTCGATCATTAAGCGACAACAGTTCACAACCGGAATCACCTGTACAAGACGACCTTCTTAGTTCGAACACAACGACAAACATTGGCCACAATCACACCAACGCCGCCAACTTCCCATCACTAATGGGTTCGCAGAACTCTTCATACAGCAGCAGTAACTGCAACAATTCCCTCTACCCGGTACTACCAGCTAGTTTACTTTACAGCCAGCTGTACACCGCTGCAAACCAAACGCACAATTTCCATCCACTACATTCGAATTCGATACACTCGACGCAGAACCATCACAACGAATTGCAAACTATGATGGATCAGATTTCGTCGACGACGAGCAACCATAGGCAACATGGAAGTCACGGGCAAGGGGAGTTGTTGCTTGGTGGTGGAAACTCTTGCGCAGCAGCTGCAGCTAGAGGTGAGGATGGCAGAGTAAACAACCTTGGCCAAAGAGGAAATCCTCAGCCTGATAGTAACACAGTATGGAGGCCGTATTAAAAAAACTTTTTATGATTTATTTAAAAAGAGATGTGAGAACCTGCCAGTGCATTCTGTAAGAACAAACTCACTTTACGCCGCGAAATCTGCGGTAGAATTTGAAATTTGTATTCTAATTTCAAACACACGCGGATTCCGAGGTGAAAAACGAGTTCGTTCTTACAGAATAGTATGGCTGGTAAAAACTTACAGATAAAATATAAATTTTATTTTTTAAATCGTCTTGTATTCTTTATAAAGTTAGGCTTAAAATAGTGCAACGAAATAGATACCTTTCGGGTATGATGTTATTGTAATTATTTTCGTGTAAATTTTTAGAGTAAATAAATTTGAAATTGTACGGGTAATGTGATGATTAGTGAAATTTATATATGATACGATTAAAAAGTTCGTTCCCGTCCTAAATATATACGATTTCCATTAACCTTGTGCGCTGCAGTCGTTTTTAATTATTCAACATATTAATTTTCACTATAAAACTATTAAACAGCTCATAGAATATGGTTGATGACGGGGTGAAGTAAGGTAATTTTATTGAGTCCGTCATATCATGAAAAAAATTAAACGTAATTTTTCATAAGTCAACTAAAAATACAGAGATAAAGCACGTCAAAGTATGGGCGTGGGAGCTTCGTCACTTCTAAGTAAAAATTGTATAAAGAAAGGTCATCATGCGACATCTTAAATCTATAAGTCTCTGTAATGTTTTAATTATGTGAATAAAAAAAATACGTATCCGATACTTTTTTATGAGTTACCTGAAAGACCTAAAGAAAATATAACTAGAAAAAATTCCACGCGGACCAGGCAGCAGACGGGACTCGAACCCGCACCCTTCGCAATCCGGGCGAATACACTGACCAATTATGCTACCGCGGCCCTCTCGGACCGCGTCGAAATTCTTCTAGCCATTCTTAAGCTGCAAGGCAGCGCCATCTCTTCGCATTATAGGTAACCCACAATGTCAAATGAATACTTTTACAAGTACCTGAAAGACGTTAAAAGAGAAGTTAGTCATCAACCCTTTTACACCTAATACTTAATTTGCCTTCGAAAGTTATTGTTATTGTAACTTTTTTTTTATAAAAGCCTGAAGAATGACAGAAACATGTTACATATTTTTGAACTGTACAAAAATCCACACCACAATGCAATAGTTTTATCTTAGATAATAGTTTCATCGTTGAAAATGTAAATAAATTTTGTGAATAAGTTGTTGTAAATGCATCTTGTAAAGTGCAATAGATGTGCAATCAAAAGTTGAGTAGATTTATAGGTAACAGAAATATGGAGAAAGAAAATTGTCTGTTGATCTGAGTTTGTGTTGAGTGTAAGCTTTGTAATCCATTTTATCTGTATAATTAATTATTTCCTGTGCCTACCATGTTTTACCCATTGTCCAACTTGACGCGGAAATATTATAGATTTCCCAAAAAAAACTGCCTAATAATTTTGAGTTTATTTATCCACTCAGCCTTAATTCGCTTTGACAGGAATAAACGCATTTTTTTCAATGATTTTCAAGATTTTTTAACACTCTCGGTGTAACTAAGAAGATATGTAATATATGTGAGTATATTAACTGTTGACAGTTTATAATAAGGCATACACTAATATCGATATCATGGGAGATGTAAATGTTGATATAAAACTAAATAACGAAATTACGAATGCACATAAATACTCAAACATGTTTGGACCTTACATTGCCAAAACACAAAGAATTACATTTTCCAACATCTTGATAGTAAAAACAAGGAGAAATGAAGGGGATGGGTATTCGTGGTATACCGAGCGTTTGTTTGAAAGTTACATTTCTGCTCGAACCCAGGGGGTAAAAATTGGTGAACAAACTAGTTTAGAATGTCTAGTTACATTTGGCGTACCACAGGGAAGTGTGTTCAGCCCTGACCTTTTCCTCATTTATATTAATGACTTGTACAATTAATTAGTAAAAAAATGAAAAATTTATACTGTTTCTGATGACGCAGCTTTATTATTCCATGGTAAGGATTGGGACGAAACTAGGGCCGAAGCTCAGAGTGGGCTCCAAATGGTTAGTAATGGCTACAAATAAAAAAATTAACACCCGATATTTCTAAAACCAAGTACATAACTTTTGGAATAACAAATAGAAACATTACAGATAAAATATTCCAAATATTGACGCACACCTGTAATAAACTATTAACAAGTAACTCACCATGTGGGATGTGTTATACTAGAACGAGTAACTAATTCTAAATGTCTTAGTATTATCCCAGACCATACATAAACATGGTTACCGCACAAACAAAAAGTAACAGAAATACGCAGTAAACTCATTTATGTTTTCAGAAATCTGCGTCATGTTGCTGACACAAAATTAATGAAACCAAATTACTATGCTTTATTACAATCCATATTATGCTACTGCATTAGAACATGGGGCGGTACTATAAAAACACATATAATCTATATTGAAAGAAGCCAGCGTGCAATATATAAGGTTATGACATTTCAGCCCTATAGATATCCAACAGCTCAACTATATGCTCATTGTGATGTTTTGTCAGTGCGGCAATTACTTATTTTGTAAACAATTTAAGTACAACACAAAAAGTGAATTATAACATAAATCAAATACAAACCCGCAGGAAAGATAAAGTTTGTGCAACATTTCCCAAAAAAACTTCTTTTGCAAACAAATTCTATTTTTGAGCCATTTCCTATATAATAAAATCAATAAAATTCTTAATTAGGTTTCACTTAACTCGTATGAATGTAAATCTAAACTGACACTTAGCTAAAAACACAGTGTCACGAGAGTATTGAAAACATGTTCGCAATAAATAAATGAGGTAATTTAGGTTTTTTTTGTTTTTGGTTGCTGTGTATATTTTTATGTCAATAAAGCTTATTAATATTATATTTATGCAAAATTACAACTTTTAGTACTTTTAATCTCTGACTCAGACGGACGGGCGGATATGTCGTAGCAATAAGAGTTCCTTCTTGACTACGGAACTCTTACATGGATACAAATTATGCAATAGATATCGTAGTACACACATTTTCCAGCAGACGTCGTAAATGGAATACAAACTTACGCTCAGCACTCAGAAAAGCATGCCCATTTGTATATAGCTCTGCCCACAGCTATTTTAGCTATTATAATGTCTCTTCTTTAATTCGCTGTGTAATTAATTATTTTTGTTATAAAAAGTGCCAAAGAGTTTATGTTAATTCTAGTAAGTTAAGTACATTTCGCATAAGTTATTAACGTTTATGAATTTAAGGCACTTAGAAAAGGCCTTGGTATGTGAGAGCGGCAAAGATTTATGTAAAACCAGTTGGAAATACAAACTCCAAGATATGAAAATATAATTGTTTTGTTACTAATGTTTATAATGACTTTCTTATAAGTAGTGTAATACAAAAAAAACTGAATTCTTAATTTCGAATACTTTAAACGATGTCATTGAATTATTTATATTGTTTTGTAATAAATATAAAATTCATTAGTGTTATTGTTTATTATTAAAACATCTCCAGTTGAGATAATATAAGTAATTAATGTAATTCAATACAATTATTTGAGTTCTCTGTCAGAAGGTTATTACGAAATGTAAACCATTTGTTGAAAAATAAACTCAAAAAGTAACAATATTTACTTATATTTACCGATTCAAATGTGTGCAATAAAACGAACAGTTTAATAATTTATATTGTAAAAAGCGTGATTAATTATTAATTTCTTTATTAATCATTTAATGTAAATTGCATAGCAGCCGATGATTTAAATTTACTTTTCTCGTTGTATTTCTGTTGACTACAAGTAGCGGAAGTGATTTTACATTAAATAAATTGTATAAAATAATGAGCTCGTGTTTTTTTTAATTATTCGTGAGAGATGCTCCACCGAAGGGATTAAGGGCTGTTGTGATGTGAATAACACGTAACTACGTGGACGTATGAAACTATTCGTAGGCACTGCAAAAATGAATCTTATTGCAAATTAGGAAGGTAGCAGATCGCAAAGGTATTGTAAGCTTCTCATGCAATTCATTTAATTCACATCTCTGTTATCCTTTAAATACATTTAAGTTTATCTATAAAACCCCAGTCGGGTGTACACCATCTGCAATTACTCAAATATTATTAATATAATGTTATTTGTTTATTAGGTATATATTCTGTTTTTCTCAGTAAAAGTAAATAAAATTGAATGAGCAAAATATTTTTTTCGACGTTAACTAGGGTCAAGTGGGGGACAGTGGAACACAAGGAATATCTCTGCCCTTTTCGTATTTGTTAAGGATTTGTTTTGACGTGTTTTATTAATTTCACATCCCACTATCTTAAGCAGCTATCATTAGAGGTCAAATAGCCAGGTTTAATACAGATATACTTCTTAAAATACGGAATACCAGCGTCGCGCAGTCGACGACATCCGACACATGCTGAGTAGACTGCCTTTTTAGTGACGCAAATGCTAAGACCTAAATTATTGTATTTATGCATAAGGTATATTGTTTCATGCATTAATTTGTGTCACCCAATAAAACATTTTCTTTCTTTCTTTATATTATTACATTGTGCCCCTTGTTACACTGTTCCCCACTTGACCCTCGACCTAACTAGTGTTAATTTTTGTGCGATGATTCGGAACCCTTCGTAGCCGCTTTTTAGAAAAGGTATAACGGAGAAACCGCAAGTATTCAGGAGTTGATAAACTTTAAAAAAAATTTGCTTTGACGCACTTTTTTATGTTAAAAGTATTAAAATATATGAATAAAAATTATCATATGTCTACCAGGTTATTATGGTTTATAACCTGGTAGACATATGAGTACCAAATTTTATCCAAATCCGTTCAGTATTTTTTGTATGATTGAGTAAAAAACATACAAATACAAAATTAGAAGGATAGGATGAGATGCATGGTCCTAATCCAAAACATACACCGTCATCCAGTACATATTACTTCGGGTGCCCGATTCGGAGTAATGTCTTTCGTGCACCCGAATACGGGCTGACGAACAAGTGTAATTGAGCCAGTTCAATAGTATGGCTTTTTGACACAGTCCTTATTACTAAAACATATAATAACAAATGCATATAGATAACTATAAACAAATGAGTAAGCAAAGTAAACATATTGTTTATATCTTTTAATTTACTTTCAATTAATAATATTAAATATTATTATTAATTAATATTAATTAATATTTTCAACACTCACACCAATTAGCCTAGCACCAAAGTAAGCACTGTAATACCCGCCATACACACTACGATAAATCATTACGATTAGACTGTACAGTCCGAACGGTACCGATAAATCGTAGCGTGTATGTTATAAAACTGCACAGTTTCCTATACTAAACGAAATCGTATAAACTGTACCATTCGAACTATACAGTCTGATCGTAACGATTTCTCGTAGTGTGTATGGCGGGTGTTAGGCTTGTGTTATGGGATACTCGGGTAACGGATAGAATACATATACTGTACATATATAAGTATATAGAAATATATATTAATCATCCATGATTGGAGTATAAATGCTCGTATTCATCACACAAACAGCTGCCCCCACCGGTATTCGAACTCGGGATCTCTCGAGTTGGCGACACCATGAAACCCGGCGTACAAACCACTCGACCACTGAGGTCGTCAAGTTCAATAATTGTATTAAGAGACAAAACTACTAAAATACTATTGACACACGATTATTACTATAATATAACAGATAGATATGTCAAAACCATCAGAACCGTTGTAAGGACAAAAAAATCAGTGAGTGCGTAAGCATTAAAAGAGTTGAATGCTTACACCGGTTCTGCTGGTTTCGACATATCAATCACATGAAGACAGTTTCTGATCATGTTAAGGCGACAAGCTCATCGGAATGTTCTATAAACGTTCTACTTTTTTTTTATTATAGAAGCTGGTGGTGCTTATGGTCGTACGTGGTAAAAATTTTCGATCTTATTTGTGTGTTGAATGAACAGGAACTATTGAATAAAATATTTACAAATAGTTTATTTAGGAGATTATTATAACGCTATGTCATCAGCAGTCGGTATGCCTAATGAGTTCATTGAGATAATGAGCACAGAACGTTTTGCATATTACCTGACACAACCTACCGGCTGGTATTTCGACACCGGCAAACATACCTCCGAAATAAATATCCAACCCTCATTAATTTGCGCCAATGTGATAGACGAATGCACGCCCATTGCCAATAGAGCTACCATGATTTTTATCTATATCGGATAAAAACCATGAAACTAATCAATAACAAAGTTCCTTCTTCGGCTGGGAATCGAAGCGTCTGATCCTTGGCGGCTTACGTAGTTAGTAGAAAGCTCTACCACTAACCACCGATGTTTTTTAACAACATCAACAATAAAAATGTAATACGACTTTCTGAAGATGAAGAACAGAAACTTCAAGTCTGAATTATTATTGAGGTAGAAGTATTAAAGACATATTACATGTTTTAATTTGAGTAGCTCTGGGAAAAATCCTGTGATTTATTTGAAACATATAAGCAATGCTAATCTATATGACGTGGCCATATCGTAGATTTGCTCGCTCCATTAAATGCTTGAGAATTTAATTGGTAGCATTTCATGGTGTGGGAATCTTAATTTGACCAGCACTCCAAGCATGAACAACTAACGTGAAAGTATTCGTATTGTCATCGTCAAAGTTTCTATAGAAGGAGCTGTTTTTTTTTGCGATGGCGATGCGAACACTGTCTCATTAGTTGTTCGTGCTTGGAGTACAGATCATTAATCCGTCAACATTCAACGAGTTAGTCGTCCACGTCTGGCTAGATCGTAATTTACTATAAGTAAATATGGTGTCCATAAAATCCATACTAACATTATAAATGCGAAAGTGTGTCAGTCTGTTTTTCTACTAATACTACATGTCTTTCTTAAACTACAGTAGACGTTTAGAATTGCGTTGAATACATTTCATGCCTGTTTTTATAAAATAAATATCTTTGATCGAACGTCAAACTACCTGTTTTATTTAACTAGTTCGTTTTATTATTGAAAACACCCAAACCTATTAAGTAATCTGTGCCCAACATTTCTCAGTTAATTGCCGAAAATCCGATATTGCCGAAGTTGTTATACCAATTTCATTGTCACCTGAGCATGGGCGACAATATATGCGAACCCACCCACTGGGCACGCGAAAAATCGATGCCAGACCGATTTGTTCGGCAATAATGAGATTTAAAATTGCCAAGTAATTAATGAGGATTAGCGTCCACGAGGCAGAGATACATTGCTGCATAATGTGACCTTACTGCAGTTCGAGAATTTATTCAACTGTCATCTTCGCATGTGGTCGCTTTTTGTGCATAACCTAGTTTTTGTTTATATTTTTGTTTAATTTAAATTACAAACCTTAAGTTATGTAGTAAAGAAAGTTTTTATTTTATTGGTCAACTATAGAATTTAGTGATAATGGATGATAAACGAAAAGATAAGGAGTAGATTTCAAAATTTCAATTTGTTTGCAGTTTTATCCAATACACTTCACATGGCTGTTCTTATTTGCTAAACTAAATAATGCTGTATTTTTAATAATCTCTCCTGTTTTTTTATTTATTTTATTAAATAATACACACAATACACAATTAAAAGGTTAACGTCCGCAACTGCAGTAGTATAAAACTGTGGCGCAGCTTCCTGCGTCTTCCATCTTCAGGGAAATCAAATACAAGCAAAGAAAGCATTAATGTAACAATATAAATATATATATATACATATATATATATATATATATATATATAAACGAAATGAAATTAAAATCAAAGTTGTCACAATCACCCACAACATCAAAATCAGATCATTAATAAAACAATTTATTTCTTCAGTCTCATCAAAGCTCAGAAGCAACAGCCAGTCTTTAAGTTTCACCTTGCATTCGTGGAGAGGTAGCGGATATATGTTTAATTTATCACTATAGAACATGATAAGGATTTTAAGAGAGGGAGAGCACAGAGGATTGTCCGCTCGAATTAGAGCTCGAGTCTGGGGAAGCAGTTCCACCTTACAGAAGACCATAGTAAAATAACACTACCTTTTGGTGGTGTTGTGTTTCTGCTGATGAGAAAGTTTCCAAGGCTCCGCGAGGTAAGGGATTGTTGGATTGTTGACATCTATCTATCTTCGCGATTAGAGTGCACCTCACTTAACATCAGATGGGGTGATGTAATTTGTACGTTTCTAATATAAAAAAATATACTGCTATTATTACAATGATGAAAATATGAATATTTATATGTTTATTCAATATCGGTTTAAAATAATGATGTAGGTATAAAGTGCCAGCATACATAGTTTGCTACTTTAAATTTATCAACTATAAAAGAGTGACTCAGGGTAACGAAATTCTATGTCCATGGGAATAGGGAGATTCATGCAGTTGTTACCCTTTTTTTTTTATAACGCAGGTAAAAAATCTTTTTACAGACGACGGCGCCTTTAAGAGGCACACCGCCGAATGGACCTCACACCTGGCTCCCGCAAGTCTTACGGACCCCCCAGTGGCTACCCACCGAAGACTCCGCAACTCTTACGGGCGCTTTACAGCATAATATCCGCTAAAAAAGTCCTGCGAATACCTCTACACTGCTTAGTGCGGAGCCGCAGGGTCCCCGTTAGGGATTCTACCACGGCTCCGCCCCCAGCAGCTTCCCGGCCTCGCCGGGGCTCCACGGCAGGGTTCTCCCGCGGTATTTCGAGGACCCCGCAGACGTGCGCAGGTAGGCCCGCGCGTGGGGGCTGGGTACGCGGCCTACTGCCCACCATACCGCCCCCCATCCGCTGCGGAGGGGAATCCTGGGCG